GTATCTATTTTTGCGAAATATGAGGCAGTATTTCAAAATAAGTAATAATAACATTATTTACACACCGTTCCTTTTCTCAATGCTAATTGTATTCGATCTAATTCTGTAACGGGTGCCCAACATTCAGCAATCAAACATTTTCGCGCTACATCATTATTAAACATATTCATTGTATGATAAATTGCTTTTATTTTTCGAACTTTAATTTGCCATGTACGTAAATTACGACTTGTAGCAGCTAAAACACGTTGACGATGTTCTTGTGTTTGATGTAAAACAACACTTAAATCTTCTAAACGTGTCATGACACCCATAGCTAATTCACGACGTTCTTGAGGATTTTCTGGACACGGATAAATATTAGCACGAAATCTAGAAAATCATTGTATCATACATTTACAAAACAAATATTTGAACTGAAAATAGAATAATTTTTACCCTTCACATATTTTTTGTACTCGATTTTTCAATTGTTCACCTTGAAAAAATATGACAAATACTGTTTTATAAACTTTTTCATTCTAAAAATAAATAAAACAATATTGTAGAAAAAAACAAAAATTAAAACAGATAATATAATAAAAACAAAACAAAAAAACGTACTGTAATTGGATCTTCAACTTGTTCTGGTATTTCAGCTTGTTTAAGAAAGACATTACCACGACATACTCGCCATAACATTCGTTCAAATGCTAGCATACGTTCACGTGGAATAACACCTGTTATAAATCTAAATTAATAGTATAAATAGAATAAAATGTATGAATATTTGAATCATAAACTAATAAATAAGACAACACAGAGAAAGAAAATTAAAAAAATAAATGCACTCTTTCAGCAAACAAACAAACAAACAAACAATAGATTAAGCAAGTATTAGAGCTTAGCAAAACAGCCAAGAAGAGAGTTAATGAACTTTTTCAATTAAAAATTATAACAATAAATCTTGGTTATATCGTCAGCCTATACGTTCAATATTTAATTGAAAATTAGATAAAATTTTATAAGTGATGATGTGGTGCTGTTTGTACATCTGCCGAGCTAGATAAATGAATTATATACTCAAAGAAATATAATTCAGTGGTAAATTTACTAAAATAAATCTGTACAAATGGTCTAGAGTCAAAGAGGCATTCCTATGAGAAATTCTACAAAAAGAATTTCTTGAAGATTTCTGCGAGATTAAATACTAGAGTTTCGATGAAATTCAATACCCAAAAGATATTCATCATTTTGTTTTGTTGAAACACATGGTATATAAGAAATAGTGATTTTTCGAACATTTTGTCACACGAGTAATTGATTATCCAAAAAGATCGACTTATAATAACGTCGATCGTCTCAAAATTAGAAAATGGTCAAATACTAACTTAAAATAAAATGTTACAAACAGATTTTTTTCCGAGATTCTTATCTAGAATTAGAATCAACAGAGAACTATCTATTTTTTTTTATCGAATTATTAAATTGTCATTTATCACAAACGAAAAGGGTCAGCATCACAGGACAACATCGACGAACATAAATGTGTGGATTTTTACCCTAATTTGAGTGGTTGACCAGATGTAACAATTTCCATTTCACGTGTAGGCATAATATCTTGATCAGATGGTCTTGCCTTTTAGACAAAGAGAAAGATAATAAACGCGTAAGAAGTAGCAGTAGTTAGAGGTGTTGGCCGATTACTTTTACGGCGACGACGAAAAACTCCAAAAAAAATTGTCTACCTTTGACGACGTGAAAATTTTTAAGAAGAATTATTATACTAGGAGCATGCCCTCCTTCTTTGGGAAATTTAAAAGGAGACGCGAGAAGAGCGGAGCAGCGCTCATCAATACTCCATATAATATATTTCAGAGATAAATATCAATATAATATTTATTTGTCTTTTGTACATTCCACTAGTTGATAGCACAGAAAAGTTCTAATTTTTTTATAGATTTTCAAGAAGTTTTTTTGATCAGCAGTAGTGGCATAAACTTTAAAAAATAAATTTCGTCTATGGCGGCGGCGACGACGACGACGTCACGGCGACCACCTCGAGCACTAGAAAAGCAAATAATGAAACGTAAAGAGGCGAAAATCAGTGTAAATAAAATGAACGTTAGATAAAGCAGCATTAGAATAGCAGTTCTTTCTTTCTCTGTGTGTGCCTCTCTGTTCTAATTTAACATGCATTTGTTTTCTCCTACCCTAATGATGTTAATTCTAAAATGTAAGAATTAGGTAATAATTGTACTTCGTCTTCATTAACATTAGAATGTAATGGTATCACAGAACTAAAAATATTTTGCGCCTATAAACAATACATATACAACTATTATCAAAAAATGGTAGAAAAGTCTTACAAACTCAAGCTTGAGTCAATAAATAAAATAATTTAAATATAGACTGTTGAATCAAAAAAATATGTAGCTATTCTTAGCAATACAAATTTGGCTACTACAAAATAATCAAGAATACTCTAACCACAACGCTTTCTATATGATCTGCGTATCAAATGAGTATTTTAAGTTTTCATCTTCTATAAAGAAAAACAACAATAACAACATTTCATCTGCAAATCTAAAAGTTCTTAATCGTTTAATATTTACTAATATATATGAAATTATTTTTATACCTACATCATTAAAAAATAATTGTGTCATTGATAAATTATGTTTTAATTCTGTTAATTCAGAAAAATTTCGTTTTAATGCATCAGCATTTGTGTTAATTTCTTTTAATTCATGATCTAATTTTTCGAATGTTGCCTAAAATTAATCCAAATATAATAAAAACAATAAATTTTCAATTAACATACGAATATATTCAGTGAAGAAAAACAAATAACGAAATGTTACAACACTTACAAGGAAACCTATCCAAGTGAGACCATTCCGATTTCGTTCGTTCATACGTTGGTCGATAGAGGGTATCGAGCTAGTAAAAAAGCTGAAAAGATTTTTCCCCATGGCTCCTGACGCTTCGGTTTTCGAGAAAACCAGTTTTTCAGAAACTCTGAAAGATAACCAAAACCTTTCTTAATGAGACATAATTGTAGACCGCAAATTTCTGATTAAAATGAGACATCTCACAGCTCTACATGATCTATCTTTGCAAAGTTATACAATTTGCAACAAAAGCCCTAAATGTTCATTGTCAACTCAAAGCTACAGAAATAAGAAAATAAATTTAGGGCTTTTTTTGTACATTCTATAACTTTGCAAAGAAAGGTCGTGTAGAGCTGGAAGATGTCTCATTTTAATCAGAAATGTGCGGGCTACAATCCTGTCTCATCAAAAAAGGTTTGGGTTGTTTTTTAGAGTTTCTGAAAAACTGGTGTTCCAAATAACCGGGTCTTCAACAGTCGTGGGGGAAAATCCTTTTAGGCTTTTACTAGCTCGGTAGCCTTCACTCGATCGGCGTATGAACGAACGAAATCAGAAGGTATCACTTGGATAGGTTTCCTCGTTAGAACAAATCAATTGTAAAATTTAATAAATATTCTACTCGTCATTGATAATAACTTGAACTTATGTTAATCTATTATATTCTATGAAAATAGAGGAATTTCATACAATACATACCTCTAAATCAATCATTTCTCTTGGTTTCGGTGCCTCAGGATTATCTTCTGGATCATAGATAGGTAAACTATCTTTTTTTATCTCCGTTTCCAGAAAGCCTGAAACAAAAAGAGATATATTGTTTTAGTATTTCTTTTAGTATAAGTCCCTTCTCCAGGTCAGAAATGAAGATTTGGATTCAAAATATTGATAATGAGAAAAAGTATTAACCCAAGTGTTCTACGTATATATGGCACATGTGCATCAAAATAACCATAGTCAAAAACCTATAAAGAACTTCACTAACACACTGAGGGGTCAAAATAAATTTAAAAAAAAGGGAATTTTTACGTTTTTCTCAAATTTTTTTATTTGCTTGGCGAAGGACCATCAAAAATATATTAACAAAAAGTCAGAACGGACTACTTTTTTTTTTAAAATTAAAGACAAAGGCATATGGCAACAACGAATAAAAGAGCCTAATTTTTTATTTAGGTCATTATTCTTCTACACTGTTGAAAATTATAGGCCAGTTTCTTCGCTATTGTTGAGCTTTTGAGGTTAAGCCTTTCGGAAAATAAAACAAAGAAAAAAATTAAGAAATTCGGCTCTTTTACATCGTTACCCTAACTTAATCTGATATTTTAAAATCAATCCAAGCTTTCCAGTTGCTTTTCGAGAGAAGAATTTGCTGAACGGCAGACGCCTCATTTCGATCGTTATCTAGGCGACATCTATTGAACAGAAGTACATCAAGCTTTAAAATTCTATTGTGACTATTCCTCGATATGATCAACATTCCCTGAAAGTTTGTTTCAGATCGAACCGCGGGTTACTGAGACAGATGTTTGACCCGGAGATGGGAAACTTTAAAGAAACTATTTAAACTAACGTAATTTTCGTCCCATTTCTTCACAACGTCGTACTTCATTGACAAATTTTCGTTGAAATGCATTGACATTTGGATTTAACTAAAATAAAGAAATAAAACTTGGTTACAAAAAAGAAAGAAAAAGAAATCTGTACTTACATCTCTAAATTGTACAATGCCAAGTTCTCCTAATTCGGATATACACGAATAGGCTGCTTCTGGTTGTAAAAATAACTGACATAACGTCATTTCTTCGCTTCGAAATATTGTACTCATTTTTGATTCAACCAAAAAAAAACAGGTGAATACAATTGAAGAGAATGACTTCGAAACAAAAACAATCTGAAAATATCAAAATAGATGTGTGTAAATATCATCATTTACATGAGGCAAAACGTTCATATTAATAAAAACAAAAATAACACTTAAGAGACGAAATAAAACAGTGAATGATATTCCACAAGACAATAGAAAAACTGCTCTCTTCAATTTACTTCACGTATATAGGATGAATGATTAGATAAATATATCGAGACCAATACTATGATTGAATGAAACACATTCCTAAGAAAGAGGAAGAACAGTAGTTCATCTTTTGAATATTGTCATAAAAAAAGGAAAAGAAAAAAAAAAGCCCGTTGATTTCGCTTTCTTTTCGGTTCTTTTTTTTCTGTATTTCATTCTGAAAAAAGATAATAGAACATAGGGGCGATGATGAAGACATCCTCAAAATCTAGTAACAAAACATATCTGCTTCCTTTAAGGATCTCAATCAAATAATATTTGATTGTGATTGAGATGGTACATCTCATGAGAAAAAAAAGCACCACACTATAGTAACGAAAAAGGATCATTAAAGCAACATTCTTTTAGCTAACTTATTTTCATTAAAAAAACAACAAGATAGATATAAGCAACATAATCTAGCTTTTTAATTAGAGAAAATATTTAAACTATTTACAAAGTAAGCACAACTATAATACAGGATGTATTAGACACTGTTTAATTAATTGTTTTTGATCATTTTTAATTAGAATTGTTTGACAATTTTCATCTCCTTGACATTTTTCAAATAGAACTTGTTCCGTATCATTGAGAATATGTTTTAAACAATGATTTGTTAATGGTATTGCTTTTTGTTGACATCGTGGAGCTTTATAATATTTTGTTGAAATACCTTCAGTATAAGAACATAAACGAAATGTCGACAATTGTTGTTGCTGTTGAGTTAATAATTGAACGGGTAGATCAGCTGTTGCTGAAATATTTTGTTGTTGTTGATGGGAAATTTGTTCTAAAAATGAAGATGAAAAAAAATTTAATGCACATGCCTTTTAAAAATTCGTTCACTTGATTACGACTTGTTATCGGGCTTAGTACTGATGAGGAAACCACTCCAACTTTTTTCACGAAACCTAGTGGACAATAGCTAATCAAGTATGCTGACTCCGAATATCATAGTGGTTTGGGCGTCTAGGCTTTCATAGACCGGCTTTCGAGAAAACCAGTTTTTCAGAAACTCTGAAAGATAACCAAAACCTTTCTTAATGAGACATAATTGTAGACCGCAAATTTCTGATTAAAATGAGACATCTCACAGCTCTACATGATCTTTCTTTGCAAAGTTACACAATTTACAATAAAAGCCCTAAATGTTCATTGTCAGCTCACTACAGAAATAAGAAGAAAATAAATTTAGGGCTTTTCTTGTAAATTGTATAACTTTACAAAGAAAGGTCGTGTAGAGCTGGGAGATGTCTCATTTTAATCAGAAATGTGCGGGCTACAATTATGTCTCATTAAGAAAGGTTTTGGTTATCTTTCAGAGTTTCTGAAAAACTGGTTTTCTCGAAAACCGGTCTATGAAAGCCTAGACGCCCAAATCACTATGATATTCGGAGTCAGCATACTCGATTAGCTATTGTCCACTAGGTTTCGTGAAAAAAGCGATCGGACAGTTGGAGTAGTTTCCTCGTGAGCTTTTTCTAAAAAAGAGGAATTAAGGAGGAATCGCAAAATCTTGAAAGGAGGAACGCCACCAAAAAAGGAGGATGTAAATTCAAAGTTAAAAACACTAATTACACAAAGGAAATTGAAAATGAAAGCAAACAGATTTACAAGTTAAAAGAATTATTGATTACAGGACAGATGATGATAGGAAGATAGATAACTGAGATCTAGAAAAGGGAAAAATGCACATACCAAATAGCGAACTACTGATGACTCGCCATGCAACAATAAGAAATTTCTATTGACCACAAAAATACTTATAGTGCAATAAGGGTCGAAGTCACATTGTAATTATCACTACAAGAACAGACGGTACTATGTTCGTGACAAATATAAGAACGTGATAACTAAGGCCTTAAGAAGGCCCTTTGATCAAACGCTATTGGAAAACTAGTCAACTTTGTCCAAAAAGGAGGTAAAAGGAGAAGAAACATTTATTTAGGAGGAATGAGGATGAAGGTAGGACGAGTACGATGCCAACTTGTTATACATTACCTAAATATTTTAATTGTTCTAATTTTTCTTGATAAAGTCGTTTTAAATGTTTAAATGTGTCTAAGAGAATTGTTGACGATTTTTCTGTTGGTGTATATTTTAATAATTCTTTATAATGTTCTAATTGTTGATGATAATGTGATGATTGAAACATGTCCATATATTCAAAATCTTCATCATCACCATCTTCTTCGATTGGTGAAATATTTTCATTTGTTTTATTTAGTAATGTTTTTAGTCTATGTTTAATAGATGATGGAAAATCATCGGATAATACGGGAATTGTATCCATTAATTTAAAAGAAGATAAATCAAATTCATCTTCAACAATATGATCTTCAATTTGTACAGTGACAGGAAAAGGATGTGGTAAATCTGTAAGAGGTACTAATTCTGCTAACCATTTTGGTAATGTTAATGATGAATCAGATTCTGTATCAAATAAATATTCACGATAATCAAGAGATTTTTTAACTAATGATAACATCTAGAAAATAAATAACAATGGAAAAAGGATAATTGAACGAAGAGTATTTTTATAGCTACGTGATGCGT